TGTCGTACCGTTTCTATTTTTCTCTATACCCTTTATACCCTCAAGTCTTTTTTTTATTTTTATTTTTTTGTTATTTTTTTCTCTCATCTCTCATATATATAATTTACAATTTTTTAAATTTAAATGTGCTTTTTCTTAATGATAATTAAATTATATTATGTAAAGAAAATAAATATAAAAATTAGGAAAAATGAAGGGCATATAATTTTAATTAAATTATATGATGTAAGAAAAATAAATCTAAAAAAACAAAAAAAAAAAAAACAAATAGTTTATAGTTTTTATATTTGTTATAAAAATAAAGGACATTTAAAAATTAAAAGAATTTACAAAATGCCATTTAAAAAAAAAGATTTACTTTTAAGATAAAAAAAAATATTTTAAAAATAAACTAGTATATAATGTTAAAGTATGAGGAATTAAAAAATAGTAGAATTTATTTATTTTTATTTGTCAAACATATCGATAGTATAAGTATACTGCAATTGATGAGTTTACCGCTATCTGCCTGACTATGCTAATTAGTTCAATTAACTAGTATTGGATATGGGTCCAATATCTAATTTAGGCTGTTACATATCAAAATCTCAATTGATAGTTTCTTATCAGTTTATTTTATTTTATTTTATTTGTGAATTCATTATGTATTTTTGGAATTTAAGACATATTTACATTGTGTATGAAATATAAATAACCTTTTATTTTCCAAGGATGTGATGATGTATTTGATCAACTTTTTAGCAATTGGCACATGAATTCAATTTGAATCATGAATTTTACTCTACACTTATTTTGTAGGGAGCTCTTAATTGTTATACCCTTACCTTCAGTGATTTTGCTTCTGGACTTGTATTTTTTCCAATTCAGTATTGGATATTCATTTCAGTAGTCATATTAGCCATATTTTGTTTAACGGCCCCGCTACGTAGCTCGAATCTATGGCTCGAATGTGTGGCTCGACACCAAAACGTTTTTTTTTCTTTTTCCTGTGTTTTTGCTGCAGACGAAGGAAGACGAAGAAGAAGGATGGAGAAGAAGAGAAGGGAGGAGGAGGAGGAGAAGGAAGAGAGGAGGAAGGAGGACTGGAGGGGGCATAATCACAGGGGAGGAGGAGGCGGTGGCGGGGCCGGAGGCCACGGCGGTGGTGCTGCGACTGCGACGATCGGCGAGGCGGTGGCGGTGGTGCAACGATCGGCGATGAGGTGGTGCTGCGATTATAAACCCTTTCAAAACTTCCCACCAAATCAATGTAGGACAAGCCAATTTACAACCTTAAGGAATTTCCACCAAAACTCCATTTCCATGGAGCACACTTTGGCTTCAAGTTCCCATTCACTCGATAATGGTTTTGAGCAACCAAATATACAACGTGAATCACAACGTGGTATAGAACGCGTTACCACTTTGATCCGAGTAAATCGACACTCGGGGCCCACCTAAAAAATAAACCATTTCCAACAATAATGTGACAGACTCTGTGCCCATTGACTGCCCAGCTTTCTGCTGCTGGTGGTTTCTGTTGCTGGATTTGATGGTCACCTTACTCATCTAAGTTCTTTCTTCTGATATTTTAATATCAATTTTAAAAATTCAAAAGCACAGTAGCACACAAAAGTTGGCTGGATATAATTAATTTGTTGACTTGACTGTTTGTGCATCCAACATTAGAATTGCATTGACAAAATACTGGGGCTTTTGTTTGAATCTTTCTTATAAATTTTATCTTTATTGATTTGATTGAAACTCATATTTATAGTAATACGTAGGGATGTGTACGGTGCGATTTGAACAATTTAAGAATAAAATTATAAACTAAATTGTGGATTAGCGGATTGGCAGATGGGCAAATTGCGGTTTGATGACGGATTGAAAAATATTTTAATCAATTATTAAGTTTTTGCATAATATATAACATTAATTTGTAATAAATTTCACATATATAACACAAATTTTTCATATATATGACACAAATTAATTTTACATAATATTTTTTATATACGTAACTACTAATTTATAATAAATTTCACATATTAAATATTTTTCACACTCATTTTTATTTCGATAGTTCATCATAGATTAAAATATGTATACGTATTAACTACAGCGGAATGGAACTGTTTCAAAAGCGAATTATAAATTTTAAAGCTTAAACTGCGGTTAGCGAATAAAGCGGTGCGGATTAATGCGAATCAGTACGGTTTTGGCAGTATTTTGCGCAGCCTTAGTGATATGTGATTGAATTTATTTAAGAAATCTTTTAATTTATATACAAAATCTTTCAATTGATAATTATGTCAACATATTTATTTAAGAAATATAATATAATATGATTGAATTTAATTTAATTTTTTTTACACATACAACCAAATATTGAGCTTAGGTTTTATAATTATTTTTGGAGTCGAGTTTGGACAGATATGTTGGAATCGGGAAAAAAAAAATTTATTATGTAGTGTCAAAGTCGATGAATGTCACCTAGTTCAATTCAAGTGGCAATCTAATGAGATTGGCTTATTTAGTAAAAATATTGATAACATATTTAGAGTTCTTAGAATTTTTCAAACAAAAAATTTCAATTTTTTAAAAAATAAATCCAAAAAACTAAAATCAAACATTTTTCTTTTTTAGGGCCAAATTTGTAAAGACGGGATTAAGCCCTGTATCAGGCTTGGGCCCAACTCTACAATTTTTTAATATACATTTTTTTATAAAAAGTCAAAAAATTATCTCAAATAATCATTTTTTTTTCCTTAATTTTTTAGTCTAAAAATTTTAAAAATGCACTTATTTAAAACACCCCAAATAATCCCTTAATTCACAACATTTGCAAGAAGAGGCTGAAGAAAAATAACCCAAAAAACAAAAATAATGAGTTTTGGTTGCCGGGACTTGAACCTGGGACTCTCACTGAGAGCCGAGTATATCCTGACCAACTAGACCGCAGCGGATTTGGTAATTTCAACCATTCATTTGTTCCACCTCTTAGGTGGTGTTTGTTTTGAGAAATTGAGGGGTGGTATTAGACTATTGGTTCATTCGGACTAATAATCTGTGTTTGGTTCAAAATTTTTGCGTCAGATTATTAGTCTCAAATCTATTGGACTATTGTGTCCCATGGAGGGATGGGACGCAAATGGAGGGATAAGAGGGATATGAAATTAGGTGATAAAACGACCATTTTGACTTTATACTATTTAATTATGTATTATATTTAGTAAAATTCAATAAAATTTAAATGTCTCAATTTAAAAATAAAATAATTTTGTTTAATTTTTATTGATGTTTTATTTATTTAATTTTTAAAATAATTTTTTATAGATATTTTATTGATGTTTTATTTATTTCATTATTTAAATTTTAATAGATGTTTTATTTAATTATTATTATTTCTTAAAATAAATTTATTTAAAATTTTGATTAAAAAATAACATATATTTTTATTGATATTTTATTTATTTATTTTTTAAAAAATAAATTTATTTAATTATGTAAAAAATAAAATAAAATAAAATTTTATTTAATCTAGTTTAAAATAATTAAAATATTAAAGATATGTTTAATATTACTATTACTTAGTAAATAATTAAAAGGGTAAAATAGTTATTTGAACATTTATCCATCTCCATAATATCCCAAACAAGCATAGGATTTATATTTTATCCAACCAAATAGTCATTTTCCGACATTTAATCCCATGACTAAATAAACATGGAATACAAATCCAGTTCAACTAAATAGTCAAGGACAATGTATTTCAAGACTAACAACAATTCAATAGATTCCAATTCCCCTTATTTAGTCCGTCTAAATAAACACACCCTTATTTAATCCATTGTCATCGCTTCATCCCTTTTCCCTATCTACTATTACTTCTCCCCCTTAACACACAAAAAGTCGTTAAATATTGGAATGCTCAAAACTAGCGACATTGTTTTAACTAATAAATTATTTTAACATATCTTCAGATTTAAAATATATAATCTTGTTAATGTGTCTTATGATCTTATCCTAAGGGGTTATTTGTTTCATTGGTGTTGGATTAGATTTCATATCCAATAAATTTATTAATTCATCGTTTGGTTAGTTTAATAAAGGTCGGATTAATGGTTAAAATACACATCATTTCTAACTAAATAGTTCAGAGACTATTTATTTAAAACTGCCTGTCTATTATATTATAATTCGCCCTTATTTAATCTGTCTAAACAAACACTCTCTAAGAGTATATGTTCCGAAACTTGAAATATTTATACAAATTTTTTAAACTCTTTCCAAAAAAACAATCCTATCATATCATATACATCAAAAGACTTCTAATTTCAGCTGGTAGTTCATTCACCACTAGAATTTCCTCTGGTCGGTCCGCTCCCAACTTGACTAATGCATCAATACGTAAGTTCCCTCTTTGTAGACATGTTAAATTGTGCACTCACATTCTAGCATGATGATCTCGGCGTCCTTCACTGGGCATGCATTTTTATACATTTTTAATGCATGCATCTTTATGCACAAAGTACAAATATTTTAAAGAAAAAATTACGTCTGTAGTGTTTTCAAAATAAATTTCAAATCAGTGATAAAAACTTGTCAACATTAATAATGGAAATTATAATCTTTTTCATAATATTGTAATTTTTTCTGGTTTTACCACCAACCCACAATTTTTCCTATTTTAAATTTCTTCGCATGTTCCATAAAGAGACATGTTAACAATATCCAAAAATAAATTAATACAAATCTATCAAATTATTCTAATATAATTTTTGCATTTACATACCATTATTCAAAATTAGCTTTCCTATCCAGTTATCTTCCTTTAAAAGGAAAGATGTATTACTATCATTTGGGTTCGTCTTACCATGCAAAGAAATAAAAATTATTTGACATAACTTCTGTTCACAACCTGAAAATGCTGATAATATCCAAGAGAATTGAAAAATAAGTTTCACTAAACAGGCCGTTGTCCAAATGATTAAGAATGTCTCCGCTGAACCCAGATGTTTGGAAAGGGATTTACTAAGTAATCTTGGTCGCATCGTTGCCAAGTTCCATAATCAAGTTGTCGAGTTCCATAATACAAGATGTAATCAAATCTAAACGAACTAAAAAGTACTCCATTTATGAGCTATTAAATTAAAGTGTACAGAAAATGAGTCAACGTCTTGTGCCAAGTAGGGACCAAAGGATAAATATAAAAATAAAAATAAAAAGGTGCTGCTTCAAGCAAGAAAAACAAAATTCAATTTAGACCCAAGACAGCCTCCAACAGAAAAAGGTGTTCAGTATTCATGGCCACATCACCTCGTGACTTTGTAACCCTGCATTTAATATAAAATACAAAACATTGATTAGATCAATGCAACAAAAAGATTGGAGAATAAAATAATTTTAAAAAAAAAATACAGGAATGAAGTTACAATTTTTGAGTTCTTGTAATCTTTTATTTTTTTGGATAGGGAGTTCTTGTACTGTTAATTCAATAAAATTGAAAAATGAACCTTACAATTCATTAAAAATTTATAAAGTAAAAAAACATTTGGGGTACTAAACAAGGCAAAGATACAGAACACATGCGTACCTTAACCCTTTTCAATAGCTCCTTGGCAGCAGGATCATTCTTGAAATGATCACGTACAGGCTGCAGAGTATGAGGAATGTTAAATCATAATGATGGTAATAAAATAGACAAAAAGCAGTCCACCATTGCCCGGTGTATTAGAATAAGAAAAACCATGATCCATCTCTACAGAAACAGGTGACATTTATTTCTAGACCAGGGAAACTGATTCCCCCTCTGAACAATCTAAGACACAATGACACAGATCAATTTGGCAATCTGATTTTTGCAAATACAAGATAACCACAATCAGCCTACTCATCGAGGATGATTACTGCAGTCCATAGATGATATTGTATCCTTCCATGCCAATTTCAAGAGGAATACTTTGAGAGACTTCGAAAGAAATGCAGGGAGTATTAGGGAATATTACTACTTTCATGTTTAATGCTGGTAACAAACAAATAAATTATCACATCAAATGCATGATTTTCCAACTTGCTTGTTTAATGTTGGTATTGGTAACAAACAAATCAATTATTACATTAAATGCATGATTATTACATGACTCTTCAAAATAAATCGGATACTCACGTTGGACAATCGACACTTAGACAAAGGTGTGGAATGTGTCCAATACTCTTCATTGGACAATTCTTATATATGTGTATTTAACACTAACATTATATGTATGTATTATTGTATAATTGTTATAAAATGTGTCAAATGCATTTTTGAATCTCACATAATTGATTAAAAATATAAAAATATGACTATTTTTTGCTGAGTCCGCATACTCTTAAATTTGAGGTTTGATGGGTCGAACATCAAATATGAACCCGCACCCGACACTCGTACCCAAGTCCATGTAACATAGGTTACAAGACAATAATGGAAATAGATAATAGATGGGCCAATTGAGTAGAAAAAAGGTATGACGTGGTGAATCAGCCCAAAATCCTTCAAATCCAGAGCTGGATATAATACAAAAGATCTACAATAAACTAAGCAACAAAAATCATGGATTCAATATTAACTTTTAATTAGGTGAGGACTAAAGACCAAAGCGACCAAATCACCAAAACTGGCAATATGAAACATGAGTCAGAGAGGAAAGAGCAAATCAGAGAAGAAAGAAAACCTGCAATATCTTATTTAATGCTTTTGATAGAGCAGGTTTCAAATCACCAGGATGCAATTGCCCACTTTCATAGTCTGCAACTAGTTCTTCAATATTGTTGAAGGTCCTGAATTTCAAACATGCACACACATACAAAGACAAGGCCATCAACAAAGGGCAATTATGGTCGAGATTTGAGAAGAAATAGAATCATGACACACCAGACAAACACAACAATCTGGCAATTTCAAAGAATTACAATGCTTTGATGGGTAAGTCTGAGAAAGCAGTGGCAGTGGTATCAATGCTGACATATGATCAAAGACTACTTGCATGAATATATGAATGAAATCAAAGAGAGACGAGTAGCTGCCAATATCATCAGAAGTCAAAGATAACTCACTTTTCACCACCATTGTCAGGACCACGTTCAACTTTGAATTCATGAAACCATGGGAAGATAATGTATTTAAGGTATTCCAGGCATGGGTTCCCTTCAACTACCATTGGAGGGCAATATGCCTTCTTTATCTTCAAATTTACTTCAGCCTGCCACAATAATTACATGTTACAATACTTTTATATAATGAACATGCACCAAAAACTAAAAATAAGTCAAATTCCAAATGAGGCTTTTAGTTACAGGCCAGTTCAACACTGAATTCAGTATTCATTAACAAAGACTGCAAAAAAAATGACTCCTTGACATTCCCTTTGTGTAGCACAGTATAATACCTCTTCATCCTCCATAAAGATGGAAGACGATGGATCACTTTTTGACATCTTCTCTTGCCCTTGCTGCAGGCCAGGAAGCATGTCTGCATGTCACAGTAACCAAGAGAAACTAACATCTGATGACAAGGAATATGAACTCAAGTAAAGTAGGAAGAATCATTATAGGGGCATACGGTGAGACAATATGATAGGCTTGTTTTTCCTCTTGATGTCATCACAATACTCTCTCGCAAGGACATTCACTTTCCGCTGATCCATGCCCAGTTGACAGATATCAGCCTGTTGAGATTAACAGATTGTTTATTTATTTGTATTATCAAAATGCAAAATCAACACACCTCTCAAAGTCACCTATAAATCTATGATCAATTGATAATTATTATCTATATGTACAACTTAACCAAGGGAATATCTTGCAAAGTAAACTACAATGATACAGATACTTTAGCAAGGAAGTTTATAGTTGTCTCTACCGTCCGGGCTAATGGAAGTAATGAGAGTTCACATTCATACGAGTACCACAAGATGCATATAAAAACATACCAAAATAGAGCTTTTAGTTTCCTTACGTCAAAAGAAATCATAGGAAACAAATCACACGTGTGAACCCAAAAACAAAGACACAAATTAGTTATTCCTTATTTGGTCCTGCTCCAATCTTTTTGCAACAAGCCCTAAACAAGTTAATTATTATTCTCTTGGCAATCGGTCTCCCTTACCATTTGCATTACAAAAAAAAAAAAAAGTATATCCCTTATCTGCAAAGATGACAGAACCTAGGCATCCAAGTAGAATACACCCATACCACAATGTAGTTAACAAAGATGTCATTACAATCACCTCAGCATAAGTACATTTTAGTAGAATTAAAACATTATCACTGCTTGAGTCCTACAAGATTGTACAATTGAATGAAGTGAACACAGATCTTGCAACCTGGGTGGCTGGTTGAGAAGAAGAGGTGAAGGGGATAGGGGCATGTGGTTGGTTGGATTTCTTCCATAGCCAAATTTAAGTATGGAACAAAGTTTTTGAAGGCAATTGCCTAACATGAAGTGTTTTACACCTTGTTGTGAGGAATAAGCATTTCAAATTCTGAAGTTTTTATATTTAGCTTAGCAAATAAATAGAATATTTTATAGTAAAAAAGTTAAAAATTAAATATAAATGTATAAATACATACTCTTCTCACCGAGTTGTCGAACATTTAAAAGCAAAGAAAGAAGCTTGCTATCATTGAAGGTGAGATTATTCAGCTTCTCACTCAAAACCTTAGCTTTGTGCCTTTTTCTTTTTGCCGATCATTTACTTGATTTTTATCATGGGGTATTGTTACAAAAGATGTTATTCTTGTTATGTTTAAACGTGTACACACTAAATTTAACAATAGTCCAAGGCAAGCTCTCCATATGCATATTTCTCCAACGTTTATAAGCAAAAGACGTACAAGGCGCACTTGACGTGCACACACCAAACTGTTATGCACAAGCCTTTGGAGAGTGTTTGAGGCCAGGCTCAATAATGACTTTCAAAACTTCGGTACTGAAAAGTGCTTGAATCAGCAGCCCAAAGTATATAAACCCATGATCCATAAGAAGAAAAGGTACCTTAAGGAAAAATATATCAGCACATTGCATGCATGGGTAGAGAATTTGGGCTGCCGTTAACTCATCCTGCTCACTGCGGCCCATAATCTGGACACACCTGCAAAGGATCGAATGTTTAGTTGTGCTAGATTGAATTCCCATCCAAGAGAGTACTTCCAATCTAAAATATTCTACCTCATTATCCTAGGAAGCTTGTTCTTTCTTGCAATGTCCATTACAAGAGGCCAGTACTCATGTGCCCGGGAGTTAATTTCTTCCGAAGACCATAAAAATTCCACTTTATCTCCTTGGAGATTTAACCCCACAGCTTTCCAAATCTCAATCATGTACTGTCCAACAGTTTGAATTTTTTTTAAATCTCCCCCCATTTTGTTGTTCAACTGTGCAAACCAATCTGCAATCCAAATTTTTACTTTGCAACCAGCAGAAGTCAGTTTGTTGACACTAATGATCTTCATAACGCCCTGTTCAAAAATAAAATGAAAATGAGAACACACCCAATCAACAAAACTTGTTACCACAGTTTGGAAAACCAACAATTGAGAGAAAAATTTCAACTTCCAACAAGGCAGGGGAAAAGAGTTTGATTACCACAACAACCAACTTTTTCTAAACACAAATCAACAAATAAATACACATCTCAAGGGACTGCCAGGAAAAATCTAGGATTAAACAAAAAAAAAATGACGCACTACAACTCAAATAATTTTAAACCAATATACTTCAATCATCTCATCAATAAATTCAAGATTAAACCCAAAAAATAAAAATAAAAAACTCAAAGAATAATCAATTCTAAAATGCAACAAGAACTTTCTAATGACAAAGTGGTTAGCTACATATGAACTAGAGAGTAAAAAATGAGCTTCAGATTACAGTATAATTTCTGAAACTCGCAAATTTTCGAAAAGGGTAGGTGAATATTGATGAGTTTCTGAAGAACAGACCTGGGCAATGTGCATTCGACCGGAGGGTTCAAACCCATCGTAGCAAACAGGTTCGGGCTTCTTGGTGAGAAGGTTTAGCAACTCATCCTCTTGAATACACTCTTCCCCAACACTCCTCACGATCCTGAACTTCTCTTCAACATTCATCAACCTATCACAAACAATTCACCAATTGAACTTTCAATTTCACAATCACACACACACCTCTACACATTCAATTATACGAAACAAACATAGATATATATATACACACAAGTATAGGGACTTACTCGGATGTGGAATTTGACGAATTGGAGGCGGAGACTTGATCGGGAGACGAAATCGAGAGAGATTCCATGGTCTGGGAGGTCGGAGTCTGGGGATCCATGGGAGGCTCTCCTCTCTCTAGGGTTTGATGTGTCGTGGGTTTAGCGATGGAGGGTCAATTAGGGTTTTGGGTAGAAGAGGTGAATTATGAGGAAAGTGGGTGGGCATTTTTGAAGGGTCAGTAGGGTGCGGTCAATAGGTGGCTAATAGGTGACTGCCACGTGTCACGTCCAATGCTATTATTCATTTTTTACTACCTACAATATAAAAATAGAGTGTGCTTTTTATTTTACCTAGCTGACTTGTTTTGACAACTAGATTAAAAGTTAGTTTTTTACTTTTTTTGAGTTTTTTTTTATTACATCATTTATTTATTTTTTTGTATATTTTTTAAAAAAATTAAAAAAAAATCAAAAAATATTAATTTTTAACTTACTTTTTAAAATAAGCTTATTTTTTGACATTATTTTTTTTATTTTACATATTTATTAGTTTAAAGAGTCTCACAATACTCTTCAAATAAAATTAGCTTATAAGAATCTTGTATTATTCTTTTAGATGGTTTACAAGAATCTGTTCTTGAAGCTTTGATAAGGAGAAAAATGCTAGATGCAACTAAACTATGTCTTTATCCAAAATTAAGAACATTATAATACTTTAAAAAAGAATCATAACACGAAAGAATAAATTATATTCAGATTTTTAAAATTTGAAAATTTTCCTGTAGAGATAAAATATAGATGGGATTGTGTGTAAAATTATTCTACAATAATTTTGTTAGAATATCGACCGTACTAGTTAATTTGTTAGGATAAATAAAATAGCATAAAATAAATTATAATAGGTAACAAATATTTTTTAAAAAGTCCCTTGGAAATGCTCTTTGAGATAAAATTATATGCCTAAATTAATTGTTTAAAAAATATAGTAAAAGTGAGTCCCAATTTTAGGCATTGATAGTTTGGTAAATTAGTGAGTGCATAATTATTGTAATAGATATGTTAAAGTTTATTTGAAAAAAATATAATTTATTTTAATGCATTTTATAGTAATAAAATTTAAAAATATTTCTGTCACCTTACTCTTTCTCTTTTACTTCTCTTTCTCCTCTTAAAAAAATAATTTATTTTTTTTAAATTCTGAAATCAAATTCTAAGAAAAACATATAAATCATTTAAATTTTTTACTATACTCATAGTTTTTTAAGCTATATTTAAATTATGAATTTAAATAAAAACTTGAAAAATGTATGAATAATGTAAATAAAATATGAATTAATTTATTTCCTTAAATAGCAGCTTTTTTTCACATTACAAATAGTGGTTGGGCCCAGGCTAGATCCAAATCCATGATAGGACTTGAGGGGATTGGGCCATGGGAATTAATGATGGGATCTAGAAATGGGCCTAGGCCCAGTGGTTGGGTTGTCACTTCTACAAAATAGGGGACCATCTACAGAGCCCATGTGACACATCTATGTACTTTGTGCTTCCCAGCACCCAAACAGCCTCATTGTCAGAAATGATTTTTTTCTAGTGTTATTACTTAGGCCTCGTTTGCTAAGTGATTTTTTTAGTTAAAAAGTCAAAAAGTCATTAAAAAAATCAAAAAATTAACAATTTATACTAAAAAGTTAAATATTTTATTCTCTCTACTTTTTACACATCTTTTTGTAAAAAATCAAAAAGTCATTCCAAACATACTATTTTTTTATATCACATTTTAATCAAAAAATCAAAAAATTACTAAAAAATGCTATTCCCAAACTAGGCCTTAGTACAATACTCACAATTTTAAGGAAAATGAGTGAGAGCACTAATTAGTGCTATCACTAATGCTGTGGCAGTAGGCCCTACCAGGAATGATTTGATGTTTTGGCCTTGGTGTTGTATTTTTTTTCTTTTTTTATTGAGTGCCATGTCATTAGTGGTCTTTTTAAAGCTCCAAAATTAGTGGTCTCTATCATTGTTGCAATTTTAAAATGTACAATTGCTCTCTCTTGTGACTTCAATTGGCTTCTGTAGAATTTTATGCATCTCCATTTTAAGCATGTGTCTCTTCATCAATATTCTCACCATAGATTTTCCTTTCCAATTATTAGAAATCTATATTATTGAAAGTGATATGACACTTTATGTTCATTAGATTTCCAACATTTTTTCATATTTCATAAATCAACATTACTCTCACAGTACACATTGATATGAAAATTAATATCTTACCCGTTACTACAATATTTCAAAGCAATTATAAACCACATATTTGTATGTGACTCATATTTATTTGAATTTCACACAAATAACTTTGTTTGGTGCAATTTATAATCAAGATTATTTGTAACATTTTCAGGGCCGGCCCTGCCCTAAGGTAGGTAAGGCTTGTGCCTTTTCCTAATTTTTTTGTTCTAATTTTGTTTTATTAAATTGTTTTATTTATAATTTTAATGATTATATGTGTAAGTAAATTTTTTTATGGTTACAAACAAATAAAAAAATTGTAACTTATCGTTTTATTCATGAATTTTTTTTCAATATAAAAGGGCTCCCATTTTCGAAATTCGCCTTAGGCCCCGACGAACTCAGGGCCGGCCCTGAACATTTTTTAGGTTATTTGAGATATTTTTATTACAGTTAAGATTTTTGAGTTAGTGATCAGATAGCACAAGTCTGTAATGTGAGATTTAAGGTTCAAATTTTATGGAAAAAAATTTGAAACCATATCTGTGTTACCCCCTTCTCTTACTAAAACAAAATCAAAAACTATTTTTATCGCATAGTGTGATTATATAAAAACAAGGCCTAAAAGTTAACATCAATGCTTAATAGTATGTTTAATTGATATATTTATTAATGTGTATTTGTGTTCCTAGCATTATTATTGAAAAGTTAATGTCATTTTCATATCATCAAAGCATAGGAACTATTAATGAATATAGTAAAATTGATTGAGAGGACAAAAAATGTTGATACCAATAACATGTTTAGAGTTGAAAAATAAGAAAACTTAAAAAGAATTAAACAATTCAAATCATAAATGATCGGATGAGAATATCTTCAAAACTAAATTGTACATGTCCACACCACCATGTACTCAGTTGGGACCATTATTATTATTATTATTATTATTTATTTGAATGTGGCTAGGATGGTGACTACTGAATGGGAAAAAGATCCAAGCCATCCAAGCCCATAATTTCTATTCTGTTTTTTCAAGCTTCCACAACCTTCCCATTGAATTGGCAAACATTGTTTTCACCACTTTAAATGCACTCACCCTCCTAATATTTAGTTGGGAGATTTAGAAAAAAAAAAATGTGTAAAATTAGTTGAAATTTAAATATATTCATTCACATTTCACCTTTCTTTTTTATTTTTTTTTTCAAATTCTTTCTCAAATCCTCCAATCAAATACATAAACAGTTCTCTAACTTTGAGTGAGATCACACAATGGAGTGGTCATCACTTGGAATATCCTCTCATGTACATATGTGAGCATAGATATTCGTATTAAATGTTAGTTTGAAACCGATTGAGGTGGTTCGCACTGATTTGTCAGTGCTTGAAAGGGCTTGCAATATTGACCAATTAGTGTCAATCAATTCAATCGATTTCATTAATTTCACTTTCAGCTTGAATATGATAGTGTGTCTTCCTATAGTCCCAACATTGATTAATTTGATAGTTACTAATTGAGCGATCCATGAAATGAAAGTAAACATCTTAAATTATATTTTCATTAGGGATAAAGTTTAAATGTAACCCACTCTATGTGATTTAGAAGTAATTACATATATATTTTCTATGAAAGGTATCCACCCTTTTGGGTTTTGGCAAAATGGGCACAGCATGGAAGCCAACCTCCATTTGGATAAAAACACAAATATTTACATAATTCAACTTAAATTAGGATTACATAATCTACTGTTGCAATTTTATTATGATTTTAAAAAATTATAACATAATACAAAATAATATAATATGACACTTTGACTATAAATACACAATACCATTATTCCAAAATCAATAGTTAATGTTCATGATCCACACTACCCAATAAAACATATACTGTTAGAATAAATAAATAAAGTGCGCCAAACAGTGATTAAAACATATGAAGTGATGGATAAAGAGTAACCGACTTGCAAGGGCCAAAAACAAGGCTGACATGCATGTGTGTGTCCTATGACTTTAGACAAGTCCATAAATATTTTGGAAAAGTCTAACATATACACCCTTAGATGAAAGGTGTATATATATATATATATTTTTTTTTTAATTATATTATTTTTTTTAATTATAATATTATTTTGATTATGACTCATAAATTTTTTAATTATGTCTCATATTTTATTTAGATATTATATTTTTTTATAATTATAATTCAGAAAATATAAACTTATATTATTTTATTTTTTAATTACAAAATACGCATAATATACACATTTTTAAAAGATATGTATCATAGTTTTTCTAAATATTTTTTAAAAACCCCCAATGTCTCATGTGTGCGTTTTGAACAAATTAATTATTTTTTCATTAGTTTCCCAACAACTCCATCTTTATCCCTTTAATTAATGATATCTCTGTGTTCTAAAGCTGTGTTGGTCGGTACCGACTATAGTCTATATCACATTTTTTTTTTTGCTATAAATATAATTATTTATTTATTCATAGAACCTTTTTTGACTTTTGCTTTTTGAGGTGAGAAAATAACATTTTTAATGATTGTAGACATTGGTCGATTTCTTGTCTCCCCATGGTCTCTGATTTTGAGCTTGGGTTGAAAATCTTTAAAATATTGTATAGTTTTAAACAATGAAAGAAGTTTCGAAAGATATACATAATGTTGTACATAATTTTATTTTTTATTTTTAGATACAAAGTAATAGAATTTTATATTTATAAATATATATAAGACTTGATTACTTATGTTTTAAAATTAAAAAAAAAAAAAAGATTATAAGTTGCATTTTTCAGTCTCTTCATATTTCTTCAAGTTGAGTTTTTTAATGCTTTCCCATCCATTGTCACTATTCTTTATAGATTTAAGTATTGTTAGAAATATTAAAAATTTTATTAAAATTTTTACTAGATGTTTTATATAGGTGTAGGACCCACACAATATAGGTTCCATGTCAGTCTCGCACTTATATGAGACATTTGATAAATTTTTTAGAATTTTTAACATTTTTGTATAGATTTATTAACAATCTTTGAATTATTACACATTTATAGTGTAATTACTAATTACTGCATAATTATTGTTTAAACATTTTAAATTACAATAAGTACTATTTAAGTCTATATATTATGACTAATTAACGTGTTTAATTGTGACTGGTTATTACTACAGTAGGGCCAGTGCTAAACATGTAGATATGAAATTTGATTTTTTAAAAAATAATTTTGTTACAAAGTAAAAGGCCCCACAATTCAGAAGAAGAACAAAAAAAAAAATAGACCCTACTTTACTACTATTATGACAACATACAATTAGTGATGTTTTGAAAAGTAGGTAAAAAATTAATTTTTTAATTTTTTTAATAATTTTTTTGACAAAAAAATTGGGATGTTTTAAGTTAAAAAATTGACCTTTTTAACTAAAAAAATTAAAAAATCAAAAAATTGACCTTTTTTTTCTTTTTTTTGTAACTTCCCAAAAGACCTCGACCTTCTTGCGTTTTCAAAAGGTGTTTTTGACGATTAATATTCTTGTGCTTAAAGAGAATAATAAAAAAATTATTATCTGCCATGCCATTTAAGGTTTGTTTCGAAAGAAGGATTGGGTTGAGTTGGGGTTATTTTAATCATAAAAAGAAAAAATAATTTTTTTAATTTAATAAGATAAAATGTCACATCCAAACCATACTCATTTCATTTTTTTCTTACAAAGTCAAAAAATTCATCACAAACAAAACTTTTTAGGTCAGGTTAAAAAAATTAAAAAGTCAAAAAATTAACTCGCATCCTAAAAAACGGCTTAGACATAGTTTATCTGGGTTCGTTTGGGAAGTGGGTTGGCTATTTGGTTTTTTTTTTTTTGCTATTCTAGACTTTGGTTAAAAAGTCTCGTTTGAGAAGGGTTTTTAGTTTTTTTTTGACTTTTTTGTAAAAGAAAAAATATAATGATTATGAATTTGATATAATATTTTGTTTTATTAGATTGAAAAACTTATTTTATTTTTTGACTAAAATAGTAGAAAAAACCTCCAAACTTGACTTCCCAAACGAAGCCTGAAAGGGTTTAAGGGGCTGTTGAGTCCTTTATAGAGTTTCATTCAGTGTATTTTTATTACTTATTTTGTAAGATTTATTAAGTAAAAGGAAATATTTACATGAAAAATTTAATTAATCAAAAATTGATAGCCATATAATTAAATTATATATATACATATATTTAAAAATAGCAGATAAATATAATTTTAAAAATAAATAGATTTTTTTTATAAAATAAAAGATAAATTGCAGTGACTTTTTTGAAATTTAGAAAAAATACAAAAAGCCCCACAAATATGACATAATTACATTAAACTCTCCTAACATTTTGATTAACATAAAATGAAAAAATATTCATATTATTATATATTTTACACAAAAATGTATATATTATATTATTTATCTATGTATTTTCACACTATCTACATTATTTATTATCTTTTTAGTCTTATATAGAAGGGAGATCAATATAATTACATAAATAATTTATTTTAAAATAAATATATTAGGTATATTCGATTAATATGGAAGAAGAAAGTTAATAGGGCCTGGTCTGCAAGAGTAATATTGGCTGTGAGTTTGAAAAAATTATTGGTTGATTTAGCGGTATTAGGTGATTATATTCTTGATTAATTATAAATTATTATATTTTTTAATTATTTAATATAAAATCGTAATTTTTTTTTTTTTCATCCATCACAGCAGCATATATAAAATATTACGTCACGCTGTCCTCAATCAATCAATGCCTTCTCGTGAGTCTGCATATGAAAGGGAGGAGGCTAGCAATGGCATGTTCCTGACCACCAAAGAGGCATCTTTCTTACCAGACAAGAGAAAGAAAAAGAAAAATAAAAAATAAAAAAATAAAGCACTATCTATCAATCTATGCAAACTCATTGCCCATTGGTTCATTCCCTACAACACGGTTCTCTCCTCTCCTCTCCTCTCCTTTCCTCTCCTCACGCCTCTGACTCAGACTGAAAGCTACTTCCAACTTAACTTACCCAAAACATTTTCCATAAAAATAATAATAATAATTTAAATAAAATAAAATAAAATGAAATGAAATGAAATAGGCTAAGATTTTAATAAGGAGCAGTGCGTGCTTGGAAAGTTCAATCTTCTCTTTTTCACGTGATCTTCACATTTAGGGAGGGTCGGGCTGTCACAGACCACAATTTGTGCCACTTGTTTCTTTGGGAAGTTGTCAGACCCCATAGACACTCCTCCTCCTTCCTTCTCTCAATAACTGCTTTTAGGATTTTGAATATTATTATGACTTTGCAACAGGATTTTAACACTTGATACATATCCACATAACGTTATGGTGTACGAAGATTATATAAAAGTAAATCTTTATTTAAATACAAAAATATATTCAAATATATAAGAAGATTCTCAAAAATACTTTTACTTTTGGAATCACTCACCACTTGATTTCACTCTTGATTTCACTCTTTATGCTTGTCTTGTCCCTTCCAAATGGTTAGAATTATTTTGATCCAAGAACTATTATTAATTCTCTAAAATATTCAAACATATACTCATACTTTTCAATGTTTTAGAACTCTCTAAACTATTTTGAGTATATAATAACACTTTTTATACTTTTAAAATATTCTAAAACCTTCCAAAACCTTTTAGATTTCTCTAAATTTCTACATATTTTTCTAATATTTTAAAATCTTAAAATATTCCAAATTTTTTTAAATATTTTAGAGTCTTCTAGATCTTTTCAAAATCTTCTAAATTATTCAATATATACAATTAATAATTTAAATAATTCTAAAAAAATCAATGATGACTCTTACCATACATAAACCACATATGTGTATGGGTTGTCATTGTTATGAAAATACATTCGATTGCTAGTCAATTGTCTGATGCTGCTAGAGGGGCCAAATATTGTCGATTTTGTAATTCGGACACTCTTATCTAATTCTATATATATATATATATATATATATATATATTCCTTTGGTTTATACAAAAATAAAAATAAAAATGCATTTAGTGATCCAATATTAGCATATTAAATTTAATCTCCATCAATTACAATCAATTATATTAAAAAAATTAATTCTTTATTTTCATTAAAGAAATGATTAAACATTAGATTCTGAATACATTTTGCCTAGCGTTGAAGGCTAGCTACATGTAGCTAGTGAATATGAGTTGAGGCAAAATGCCTAATCATATGCCTAGTGCATTGGAATTGAAAAAAGTGAATCACACTAAGCATTTTAACTAACAAGTATTATATGCCTAGTGCATTGGAGATGCTCTAAGGTTATGGTGTACGAAGATTATATAAAAGTAAATCTTTATTTAAATACAAAAATATATTCAAATATATAAGAAGATTCTCAAAAATACTTTTACTTTGGAATCACTCGCCACTTGATTTCACATCACACCAGCAATGAAGCAGAGTTTCTCACTCTTTATGCTTGTCTTGTCCCTTCCAAATGGTTAGAATTATTTTGATCCAAGAACTATTATTAATTCTCTAAAATATTCAAACATATACTCATACTTTTCAATGTTTTAGAACTCTCTAAACTATTTTGAGTATATAATAACACTTTTTATACTTTTAAAATATTCTAAAACCTTCCAAAACCTTTTAGATTTCTCTAAATTTCTACATATTTTTCTAATATTTTAAAATCTTAAAATATTCCAAATTTTTTTAAATATTTTAGAGTCTTCTAGATCTTTTCAAAATCTTCTAAATTATTCAATATATACAATTAATAATTTAAATAATTCTAAAAAAATCAATGATGACTCTTACCATACATAAACCACATATGTGTATGGGTTGTCATTGTTATGAAAATACATTCGATTGCTAGTCAATTGTCTGATGCTGCTAGAGGGGCCAAATATTGTCGATTTTGTAATTCGGACACTCTTATCTAATTCTATATATATATATATATATTCCTTTGGTTTATAAAAAAATAAAAATAAAAATGCATTTAGTGATCCAATATTAGCATATTAAATTTAATCTCCATCAATTACAATCAATTATATTAAAAAAATTAATTCTTTATTTTCATTAAAGAAATGATTAAACATTAGATTCCCTCTCTATATATGTATATATATTTTTTTTGATGTGACTCATCATATTAAATTACTCATTTGTTATTGAATCTGATCATTTTGATTGATTCTCAATCATATCATGAAAGCTTCTACATTTCATAATGTGGTTACATGATCAACGAACTTCTGTTATTAACAAGAAGAGTAGTTACATCAAGTATGAAAACAAAGAGGAAAAAAAAAAAGAAGATAAATAAGAGAAACAGAGAGAGAGAGAGAGAGAGAGAGTACAGAGCTTTTAGATTTGATCAAACTATTCTAAAACCCTAATTTTTTGAGACTTGAAAAAACCAACCATTTCCTTAATAAGGTGGGGACAAGGGGGGAAAGATTATGAGGCTGCAATTTTCTCAAACAGGCCCAACCTATTATCAGCAAGTCTAGACTTGTATGCAGATTTTTTGTATTCAAACCATGTAAACTCTTTGTACAAGCTGTCTTCTCCTTCCATGAGTGAAGGCAATGGGGCTATCTTTTCACTCAATGGTGGTCCTCCAAAATATATCATTGAAACCCTTGATTTCAAACTGTTCGCTATAACTCTATGCCTTACACTTTTAAACCTCCCATTGGTCATCACCTGCAAAACCCACCAGGCACATTTCAAAACCAAAAAAATTACCCACTAATGCAAATCCAGAATTGAGTACCGTTGCCAGATAGTGAAGTAGAGATGAACCACACATACAAAGACCCCACAACAACAAAAATGAGATATCATCTTGATAGAAAATTTTTAATTGTACGGTATTCGATTATATAATTAGATACAACTATCTCATATGAAGAGAGTTATAGCACATTTTGTGAATAAATTTTGTGCACGTAGAAAAACTATTCACCATAAGCGAAAAAGACTCTTACTCAGGTATTGCGGTTGGTAGGAGGACATCTCATCTACAACCAATTCTTTAGTTTTTATTGAAAAAAAAAAAAAAGAAAAAGAAAAGAAAATAAAGGACAACTTGAATAAAAGATCATATAAAAAGTTATATAGTAACTTTCGCAAATAAAGAGTGTCATGAAATGTTGCTCATTAACTGCAAGAGATATTTGAAAATCTCAAAATATCATCAAAATATATTAGATATATCTGTTTAATCTCTATTATTAGTATTCATGCAAATAGCAACTTTTGCATATAAACAGTGCCATGAAATCTTATTCATTAACTGCAACAGAAATTTGAAAATCTCAAAATATCATCGAAATATATATACATATATATAAATATATCTATTTAATCACTATTATTATTTGATGTGAATGCAATTTTTCCATGTGCTCAGTTGAAAATTTAAATTTTTATTAGTTACTGAAAAAAACTCTCATTTCGGCTGTCATAACTCATCTTCCTATATTTGACAGTTTTGTATCAATATGCACGAGCAATGATGATTTTTTCCTAAAGTTTCCTAAAGTGTTACAGTGTATGGTTGAGATTTATTGGCAAGTCACATCAATTTTTCTGATATGACTTGCCAGTAAATCTCAACCACACAATATAGCACTCTAAGAAACTTTAAGAAAATTTTACTCTAGAGGATCCTTGATGAATATGCACATCGTTTGTGTCCAGAGTCAAGTATATAAAATAGATAACATTTTTAAAGTTGACACATTTCTTACCCCAAACATGCCCATGAATAGCTTGCAACAACTTTTCGCGTGCACAACTCGACAGTCACAACTCATCTACCTCAATCTATATTTTGGCGATTGTATCAATATGCACACCATACGTGTCCAAAGTCTAGTATATAAAAAAATTTGAAGCTTTGACACGTTTTTTCCCCCTCAAGAATGTCCGTAAATAACTTGTAACTTTAAAAAAAAAAAAACAAACACATGTTGCCTACACAACTCGACACTGACAACTCATCTTCCTCAATCTGTATTTTTACAACTGTCTCAATAAGCACACAGAATCTAGTATATGAAACACAATATTTTTAAAATTTTGATACATTTATAATTTGTAACAGCTTTAAAATTTAACTCGTCTTTCCTCTTCATAGTAAAATTATCAATAATGTTAAGAATCATAAAAAAAAAATATCATGAAAATAATCATGAAAGATTGTTCACCCCTATAATATATATATATATATATATATATGTGAGCACAAGCTACACCAACATAGATATGTGTGTGCATGTATATCTATATCTATATTTATATTATAATAGTAACCGTACCTGCAAAGAATCACCAACATTAATGAAGAAGGAATTCTGGTCAGGAGGGACAGAAATCCAGTTGCCATCTTTCAAAGAGATTTGAAGTCCAGATGTGTTGTTGGATCTCAGAACAGAGATGATCTGAGGGTCAGTGTGCTCTCCAAATCCAATAAAATTACTACCATTCATTTCTTGCAGCTCTGGGTATGGAGGGTAGTGATTCAGCCTAAAAACAGAGTCACTCTGTTCATCCATTAACAGCTTACTGAACACATTCCTCTGCTGAATCTTCAACCCATCAGCCAATAACTCGAGAACTTCACAGGCCATTCTCTTCACTGCCAACACATAATCATCCACAGCACAACTGCAAAACAATCAAAAACAAACAAACATACAAACAAACAAAATCAAAAATTGAATTTAACCCACAAAACAAACAGTTTTTGATCGACTCTGTTTCGATTTCATACCGAATGGTTTCTGGGGTTTTGCCGTAGATTGATTCAAATCCCTGGTAATTGAATTCAGGGTTGGTTGTGAGGAGGAGATATTCGACCCAACCCACATCGCCGTTGGATCCAATGCTCTTGTTTCCATACCCGAATGGATTGGGAGGCCCTGCTTTTTCTTTCTCGGAAAGTGGTAAGGAAAAGAAACTGACAGCTTCGGATTCTAGTTTGGTGATGCATTCAGTTGGGACGCCATGGTTGATCACTTTGAAGAATCCAAACTCTTCGCAGGCCTTAACGAGGAGGTTCTTTGAGTCGGGTTTCGATAGGTCTATGATGGGAATTCCAGAGAAAAATGTGGTGGTGAGCTTGCAGGTTTTGATGGCTGATAACTGTTCAATTGCTGGTTTAGCGAGAACCACCATGGTTGGTGAAGATGAAGATGGAGAAGAGAAGGGCGATTCAAAGATGGGTTCTTGGAATATGTTTGACTAATGAGAGAGAAAGAGAGAGTGTTGGTGATAGGAATGAAGGTGAAGGAGAAGGAGGAAGAGATTGATGATGCTGTGTTAGAAAAAAGTTTATACACAAATGGCTTGAGAGATGTTCAGCTATTTATAGGAGGGGGAGGGCTTTAAATGGAAAAATGAATGACCCCAAAAATAGGTGTTTTTTTTTTTAAAGTCCTTCTAAACATGTTAAATTACCGTTACCGATTAATTCAAAAAACTTAAATAGATAGGAAACATGGAAAAATGAATGACCCCCAAAATAGGTTTTTTTTTTATTTTTTATTTTTTATTTTTTTAAAAGTCCTTCTAAACATGTTAAATTACCGTTACCGATTAATCCAAAAACTTAAATATATAAGAAATGAGTTCAATGTAGAGATAACAAGATCTAGAACTAAAGCGCGGTTAGATTATCAATTACCTAATAATGTATATCAAACTAACAAAAATAAAATTTATTATGTCCTTTTAAACTTTGAATAATATACGTAAATACTGAAGTAAAGAAAAAAAAAATTTAAAACTTAATTTTTATCTAAAAATGGGTATATTTGTACTTATGAGTCAAAATAGTGGGTGCTTGACTTTTTTTTTTAATATCACAGAAAAATCATGATTTGAAAATTTTGAGTGAATATCATTACTAGTCATACAACAAGAAAAAAGAAAAAAATCAACCACAAAAAAAAATATGTTACTTGTTTATTATTTTAGTAGAAAAATCTTGACTTTCTAGCGTTCTAGTAATACATCAAGCAACGAGATGCTAATGTCGGAAAGAGAGAAAAAAAAGTATCTAATTTTTATAAAATATCACTAGATCATGTCATACAAATCACACATTACATATAAAGCACCGCTTGGGGAGAAGAATATGGATTTTTTTTTTTTTTTTTTTCAGCAAAGAAAATTTTTTAATCATAAAAGATAAAATAGGTTATTTTAGTTATAAAAAATAAAATATTACATTCAACTCATAATTATTACACTCTTCTCTCACAAAAAAAGTCAAAAAATCTTTCCCAAATCAAGCTTTTTAACCCAGGTTAAAATAGCTAAAAAAATCAAAAAGCCAATCCACTTTCCAAACCAACCCAAAGTCTCATATTATCTCTATATCATTTCGTTAATTAATTTTTAATATAAAATTATGAATCTTACCATAATTTCTAGAATAATACTATATGCATTAATTAATATATTAATTAGTGTATCAATTGATGATAAGACATAATTTAAAATATTTTTGGTATTTATAATTTGTATAATGAATGGGGTCAATAATAATGTCATAACTAGTGTTAGTACATTAATTAATACACTAATTGATACATATAACATTACTATATTCCCTAATTACAATCTTCAAAAGCATCACTTTCTCCATGCTGAGGAGCTGTTAAATAAGTACACTTTTTAACTTTTTTATGAAATATGGATAGGTTTAAAGTTAGGTTTAAAGTGATATATTAAAGAGATAATGTAATTTAAATAAAATGATGTATCTTAAATAAGATAATAACTTTTTAACTTTTTAATTTTTTTTTAAACATGTAAAACCAAGCTTTATTGAGCAAGGAATAGCTTCACATTGGAAATTGAAGCATACTATTTTTCCCACACCCTTTTTTCTTCACTCAAAATTGAAAGCTTGCGGATAAGTTTTAAATTGATGATAATACTGTATAAGAGCCACCATCATGAGTGGACATGTTTATCCTAATTTTTTTTCTTATTTTCACGAAAGAACATATTAGTTTGAGTAATGTTACATAAATAAAATAAAAAAATAATACTAAATTTTTTTGACAGAAAGAGAGAAATAAACTATAGCACGATACAATCAAAGTTGGTGTCAGTGGGGTAGTAGTATGTTGATCACCATATGAAGAGATATATCAGACATAAATGAATTATGGAAAAAATAAAATTAAGGGTTGGTTTGGTTTCCTGTCTCAAGCCAAGCTCAGGCTTACTGACAGGCTTGTTGACCATCCTATAGTAGTTTGGTGGCCTAGTTTCATACAAAGGTCACTTGCCTCTTAACAGATTCTTGGCATCTGGTGCCTTAACCAAGGATGGCAACTGGCTAAGACCACTTGGGTATGCCCTCTTGTTGTAGGTACTGACTAGCCTACGATCTTTCTGCACATCTTTGTAATATTGTTTCTTACCAACTGGATGCCCTTTCAACCATTTGTAACTCAGCCTGCACCTGGGACACATTCGTTGCATAACAGCTACTTCGAGCGAGTCATCATCTAAAGTTTCTTCACTGGAATCATCCTCTTGGCCCACGAAGCTTTGCCCACTTGCTAGTGAACCCTGTGTGTTCTTCTTAATGGTAGTTTGGCTAGCAACATGCATTTGCACGTTGACCTCATCTAATTCCTGTAAGGAGAAGTTCTTCACACTTCTTGGGCAGGGTAGTCTGGTATGCCAATATTGGCTGTCGTTTCTCTGATCTTCGAAAATAGGTCAATGTCTATCTCCATTTCCTTTTTTGCTTTGGCTGGAAATTTTAGTCTTCCTTTCTGAATCTGCTATTGAATCCTGTCTAAAAACAAATATAGTTTTTAGCTGAGTGAGACCAACGGTTATGTCATTTATAATACATTTTGCCTTTAATTTCTTACGATGTTAGGATCTTAACTCCCTTAGGCAATTTTAGAAAATATGTTGTTAGCAAATGATCAAATATGTCAAGAATATTTTCTATGAAGGTCTTTTTTTTAAATTGCTAATCAATGGTTGTATCCCTCTAAATTGATGCTTCGCAAATCATAGGCTCTTTTCCTATGATCTCCACTACATTAATTTGAAAATTAGGCTCCCTATAATAGGTCCAATAGGATGCATTACTTTGATCTTGTTTGTCCTCACGTAGAGTTTCATATATGGTGACATTATACGCTAATTCTCCTAGATCTCGAAACTCTATAGAGTCAAACTTATTTCCAAAGTTAAAGCCCATTATGGGCTAACCTCGCAAATTCAAGTTCAAGTAGTATGACCCTTAAACCTTTACTGTTCTTATTTTTATGCATCTGAATTATCTGCAACTTTTTATGTAGTCATCTGCATCTTTCTGATTTATTTGATTTGAGCTGTCAGGATTGAGGCATTACTTTTGCTATGTAATAAATCTCATTAATTCCTTCTACAGCTTAGATTGTGAGGTCCAACTTATTAATATCAGGGGATATGAGTAATGTATTTACACCATAAAAAACAACAATCTTCTATGAGCAAAATGTTTGTAAACAGCAGAAAACCGATCTTCTATACGAACTATGCTTGTTAACATGAATAGAAAGTTGATTTTGTGGCTTATATGAAGGTTAACTATATGACATCTGACCTTTTCTCTTCCTCCTAATTTTGTTTCCACTGCAGGGTTGATGCTGTCATCCATTTTGCTGGATTAAAAGCAGTTGGTGAAAGTGTGCAGAAACCCTTGGTGTATTATAATAATAACCTTATCGGCACAATCACTTTGTGCAGAAAAATAGAGAAATAATGTGATAAAAAAAAGATAAAAAGATGGATTATATAGCCTATGTCAAACCACCCCTAAAAAGATGGATTATATAACCTATGTCATTTGAAAATTTCAATAGTTTTCTTACACTTTAAGCCTCTTTCATTTTTTGAATACCCGACTTAGAAAATAACTGCACATTTGGTGCACATACAACAAAAATTTACAAATGGGAACTAAAATATAATGTCTCATCGTATGCAATATTATGCAAAATAAAATGGATTAAATTAGGTGATTAAAGAGGCATCATACTACTTTACTAAGAGGATAAGGGGTTTGACTATCATTACCCAAGTGTGATTGTTTTCTGTTATTTGATATTTTAATATTATAATGTGTTATGGGTATGATTTTTTTTTTCTCTCCAAGTTTTCTTCGCCTTTAAGTCAAGGTTTTCTCTCTCCAAGTCTTTCAAGTCTTTGCCTAAGTCAAGTCTTTTTCTTTGCCTTCAAGTCTCCTTCAATGAACTTTTTCACCAAGTTTCCTCTCTTATACTTATCCTCCAAGCAACTTCTAATAATCCTCCAAAAAACTTGTCAAAGCTTTCATCTCCTATAAATTGAGCTAACCTCTTTTCTTGAAATATAGAAGAAATTTTTGTTGTTTTATTATGTTTGTGTGAGATTATCAAGCAAATAAATAAATGGTGTATGTGATAAAACTTTGGATTTAACCAATTGTGCAGTATTGGTGAACCATACGACTTAGTCGGGTTATTGTATCTTGGGGGGACAAGTCTAGATTTTTTCTACTGTACCGATGTGAAACTTTGCCTAATCGCAGAGGACTTGAATCTCCTTAAAGAGAATGAATTTCCCGCGCCTAAGCCCTTATAATAATTATTATAATTTGAATTTTTTGATATTTTATTTGTAATTATCACTAACATTTTCCATTTACCTTTTGTTTAGAGTTCCTTTTTTATTTGAGAGCTGTTCATATATGCAATTTCTTTGCGATGTGGAGAAAACAAATAACACATGAAATTTAAATTAAGTCATCAAAACTCCGACAATTGCATATTAATGGCATTCGTTTCAAATTAAATTAGTTTTTCAGGAGATTGTTTCATTCTTTTGAGAAGACAAGAGACTGACAATCTATAAAGTATGGATACTTTGAAAAATATGTTGTATCTGTATTAGTTATTTATCAGCGTATGGTATCTCGTATGGTACTTCTGTATATATATCGGGTACACAAAATACGTATGTAAATTTTTTCTTCTTAATTTTTGGCGTACCCAGATGTACTTACTGTGGGGATATATTTTTTGGATACCAACACGTGGCATGGCGACGCCGACGTGTCAGCCGAAGTGCCACGTGTCGTGGTAGTTACGCCGAGGTGATCTCGGAGTTACCGAGGTTATCTCCGAAGATATCGAAATCCGAGATAAACAGATAAGGGACAAGAGTCCTAGGACAACGAGGAGACTTAGCCAAGATAAGGATAAAGCTCTTAGGGAGTTTATCTTTATCTCTTGAAGAATCCAAAGTCAGTATTGAATTGGAGTCCATAGAAGTCAGGCTTCTA